GGATGGCTGGATGGATGGAGGGATGGATGCATGTGTATGTATGTTTAGTATGTGGTCTTGAGTGTCCGTGTGTGTGTTATACAAATATGCTGTGTATATATATATATATATATGCGTGTGTGTGTGTATATGTGTATGTGTATGTGTATGTGTATCTGTATCTGTATCTGTATCTGTATCTGTATCTGTATCTGTATTTGTATGTATATGTATGCATGTATATGCGTGTGTATTTGCGTATAGATGTGGATGTAGATGTAATCTAGGTGCATGTCTGCATATAGACAGTTGGAGGGCATGCTGGGTCTTCGTGAAGTACGTCACTCGGCTTTCTATGTAATTATTGGACTTGAAACTTGGGAGAGCAGGCTTGAAATTGGGAGTAGGCATTGCGGTGCTGAGGTTTGGGGTTAGGGTTTTCATGTTTCGACAACACAAGCACAAATCAAGTAAGAGCCAGAAGCAGGTCTGCCCTACACCATGTTTTGATTTAGCAAGCACAGAGGTCTGAATAGGTAGTCGTACGATCCCGGCATTCTCTGCCTACATGGCCCAGAACCCTGCTCCAATTCATCAACACTGCTCCACCCAAAGGAATATCTTGACATCTGAACGCAACTCGTGGTTTGCGCTTCAGACTTGATAGTTTGAGGGTTGTATGCACATGCGATGATCTACTACACGGCCCCAAACCCTCTTTTGACCAAAATGAAAGCCTTGTCAGGAAACTGCCCCGAGCCTGACGGCACGCCAGACTGCACCTGGCATGTGGAGCCCGCTGGCTATGCTCCTCGACCGATTCCGACATCAATCTGCCCGAAGCGAATCAAACCTCAGACATAAAATCCAAGCAAACCTTCCGAATGAATGAACTCTACAGCAACATCGCATACCAGATGCACCAGTATGGTGTAACTATATCTATAAATTTGCAACCGTGATTTTACGTAGACCTGCGTCCCATTCCCTGAGCTTACCGACTTGGTTGTCCCTGTCAACAACTTTGGGACCTTGTGGTTCATCTTAGAGCTTCTGCAAAGTTACGAGCCAGGTTTAGAGTAGATTAATTCTACCATCACAGCTGTCCAGGGTCCGCGAAGCTTTCCCTTACGCGTTGCAGAGGGTTTGGAGTGTATGGTGGCTTTAGAGGTTAGGGCTTAGTCTAGGACATTTTCAGGTGGGTAGTTATCGTTATAGGAGCCTCATAGAAGGTCTATATACCTTATGGAAGCCTTATAGAAGGTCTATATACCCTAAACTCCCAACCTGTAGTTTCCTTTAACTTAGCGCAGGATTTGAGAACGTCTGGGGTTCGACGTGCCGGGCTTGAGATCAACTCTCTGACGCCCTAAACCCGCAAGCCCCGAAACGCTCAACTTTCGGGTAGGGTAGCAGCCGCAGGCACGATTTGAAGAAGCGGCACCCTGAACCGTGCAAACCCTAAGCCCTCAATTCCGTGTCTCTTCTGCGCCTTTTTTGACTGCTCAAGGGCTAATGTAGCGGAGGATCACCCACCTTCGAGGGCGCCATAGCAGGAGGATTCATACCTGGGAATCCGGAATCTACCGAAACTGGGGGTTGTTGTTCTTGCATCAGTTTATGCTTAGTTGATTCGCTGCGCTGGGAAATGCGCTGTCTTAAGGTAATGTTGGACGAGCTGACTGGCGTCGATGCCGAGCAGGTGTTGAACGCAGGAGGCCGGAAGCTGGATGTCCCTTTGAGTGCTTTCTATTTGGGGCCCCTGCTTCTCCGAAACTCTAACATGACTGCAAGGGTTTAGGGTTTAGGGTTTGGATTTAACCTGAACGGTAACCACTGTGACAGCATTTGTCTTTTTGCTTGTCGCTGCTTGTTACATGCAGCATTTGCTGAGCATACGGTTGCAGATTTCTTGAATCTTGTTGGAATGCCGCTTGTTGTACAGCTGGTGATACTTGCGACATGTTGTCCTTTGCCACGAGACAGGACAAGGGCATATACTGCATTGCCAGGCCATCTCTACGATGAGATTCTGGATGCGGGCACCGGTGGAGCGAATAATTTCTGGGCGAGAAAGAAGCTTGGCTTGAATGGTACTGGGTAGGGGGTCTTCGGTTTGGAGTGTTGAGGCTGAAGCATGCTTATGGCTTGTATGGGAAACATGAGGAACCCTAGTTTAGTACAGGCCCCAATAAAGGGATCCTTGTCATGAGGACCTATCGGTGCTCAAGATACCCCATGTGGTTTCTTAGACATGGGATGCTCTGGTTTATTCAGCCTTGGATGCAAGTTTCTTGCTGTTTAGCCTGCGTCAGATGCTGTACTTGGCGCTTGGGGCAGTGCATGGTCAAGACAGGAAAAATCCTGCTCTCAAGCCCAGCAGAACTTTGCAGAGATCGGTCTTGAAATGCCGGGCATACTTAATGCGAAATCCTGAACCCCGAAACCCTAAACTAAACCCCAAATCCCCAAGCCCATCACAAAGCCCAGCCTCAACTTGCCAAGGAAGGACAAGCAGGCCGGGAACAGCGGATGTCAGACCGCTAGTGTCTTTATGCCCTGGACCTCGCGTCCTGCATTGTTAGTTTCAAGTCGTTTTTCAGTAGTCCCATTATAGGTCTACGTGATATTCACCACCGATCTTAAGAGTGCTACCAACACTCGTTAACTAGTTATGCTGGGCTGCTCCTTCATGGCAAGTAGTCTGTTCAGTCGTTACCTGATGCATACCTCACTCTAGCATTTCCCAAAGCATAGGGGTAGTGACTACTGCTAGCATACAATACTGTCCAGCACTTGAGGTCTGTGTGAAGTTCGGGAATCTTCAGTACGAATCGGTCATCGTCGTCAGCAGAGCAAGACCCGTCATCATAAACACCCGTATCGTTATCGTAAACACTTCTTTTTGAGAGCCAATCGTCATGTTTCTCCGTTGTGATGATCGAAGCGGTCACGAGCACGGCTAGGAGTATGGGGGTTTCCAAAAACAGGGGACCCTAATATAGTACCCTAAATAATAGGATCCCTATTATAAGGACCCAAAAATAAGGTACCCTAATTTCTGAAACTCCCGTATGAAAGTGGCGATGCTGACAACTGCTGATGTGCTCCCATTTCGGAGGCATGCAAGTCTCGCGAGAACAAGCTCCTGACACTCTTTGCGCGGAAATTTCCAGGTCTCCTGGCTGGCGTTGGGCCATTCAAGGGTTTATGTCCGTGAGTTTAGGGGTGTAGGGTTGTAGGGTTCACGTAGTGACAGTTGCATATATTATGTCTTTGTAGGAGAGGCTGCAGGGCTCTCAAGCTTAGAGTGTGAGGGAAGCAGCCAACTTTCCTAGTGGCTTTCGGGAGCCCTAAACCCTAAAGCCCTAATACCCCAAAACCCTAAAACCCCAAAATCCTAAAATCCTAAAACCCTAAACCCTTAAACCCTAAACCCCTAAAACCCCCAAACCCTAAAACCTTAAGCCCTAAAACCCTAAAGCCC